GGGGTCTGATCCTGCGGCGTGTGGGGGGCGCTTAGGGCGAGGGCTTTGGAGCCAGGCTGCCCACCACCCNGGCGCGGATCCCGCCCCACCACCCGCGAGGCGGCTCCCGAGAGGCTGGCTGAGGCCACCCTGCCGGTGACGGAGGGGAGGGGGTGGGGGGTGCCCTGGTCTTGGTACGTTAGGGCATTTACACCACCAAGCACAGGGAGAATTTTTGAGACTTTGTTAATTAATTAGAATAATAACAAATTCAAGAAGAAAATAAAATTAGGGACAATCAGTTTTTTCTCCGGACACCAGGAAAACCGACACAGAAATGGGAAGCGGTCATTTGAGGACACGCTGAATTCGGGTTTCGTTCTGTCCCTCGGCAGCGAAGGGGCCGCCTCAGGTCACCCGGGGGACCTCCCAGGCCTGCCTCCCTCTAGAAGGAGCCTTCCGAGAGCAAGGGGTGTCAGGTGAATTTCTGTGCATTTAATGCTCTTTTAAAAAGCACGGAAGACGATCCTTCAGAGCAAAGCTGCACACTGTGTAACAGACCGAGTCTCCAATGAGAGGTTTGCACAGATGGGCTACTGGCCAAGAACATGTTAAAACTTCTATCTAACCACCTAGTTATCAAACACTCGCAGCAGCTAATGAGCATTATGGGTGATATTATTACTGTTTTCCTGTAATTCAGACGTTGCAAACCGGCCACAGGCCATAAAAAGCTTTAGAAAGCAGATGGCTTTTGTTCGGCTGCTCGGCTGCACTTTTCGCGTGGATGGGGGGTGGTTTGGGTGTGGATTGGGGAGTGCACCCCAGCTTCTCACGTGACCGTGCTGGACTCGGCTGACCGCGCCTACCCCAACCCCCGACGCATTGCAGTGTGAGGCCCTCGGCACAGTCCAGCTCCAGGCCAACATCTTCCTAACACGGGGCGGGAAGGGGCCTCATCACGCCGAGAAGGGGCATCGTGGCTCCGGGAAGGGCCGGAGCACCACGTTGCCGCACTAGGGGAGCCACCTGCCAGGGTGACCTCCTGAGGCTCCTTTTGGCCTGGGGAGCTGTGACCTTTCCCCTCAACCTACTCACTCTCAGGTCACTAAACTAGGACGCAAAGTTTCTAGACGTGACATTCAGAGCCCCTCCCCCGGCGCCCTCGTGTGGCCACGCGGCCCCCTCGGCCGGCTCGCCCATGAGCGACGGGAGCTCCCAGGAGCAGCGCCTCACGCGGTGGAGCCTCCGCAGCTCCGTGGGCCCGTGGGGGGGGGNNGGTGCGCTGCGTAGTTTCCCCGGCGCTGGGAGCCCCGCAGGCCTTCCTCCCAGGCGCACCCTTCTGCGGTCAGTGAGAGGCGGCCCCGGGCCGACCGCTCTGGGTAACGTGCGAACAGGAGCATCCTTTTGGAAAATGGTTGGAGAGTGAAATGTCAGGCTCAGAAAGGGTCCAGGGCCAGACAGAAGGGCAGGACACCGGTGTCTTTAAAAATAGTTCCTGCAGAGTCCCCAAGACCTTCTCTCCCTCCCAACGGAAGTAAAGCAAACCCTCCGCAAAGAGCCCGCTGCCTTCTCCCGGGCTCCCCCCGCCCCAGCCACCGGCGCTGTCAGAAGGTCTCCGGCCAGGCTTTTCAAACATGGGCCCCCCGACACCACAAAGGATGCTGTCCCTCAATGTCCACCACCCACGCCCTCTTGTCAGCACCCACACGGAGCCTCAGGTCCAGGAGGAGGCGTCGGCCCTGTGAATAGGATTAGCTGACACCTGCGGGCCCTGCCCTGTGCCAGGCCCGGCGCCAAGGCTCCCACCGAACATCTTGTGCGAGTTCTCACCACCCTTGCGAAGTAGGCGTCATGATCTCCATTTTCTAAAAACAGAGACTGACCTCAGACGGGAAGCTCTGATACCTCTCAAGGCCGCACAACCGAATCGGACACCAGGTCCATCTCTCCAGAAGCCAGACTCCACTCCGCTCTCACCTCCGGCCTCAAAGCGCTCGCAGGCCTGCGAGTCTGACACCC